TCCAGCAGCCCTCAGTTTTTTTCTCTGTAGTTATCAGTCTCTTATGGCTTATCTCCCTCTCTGATTTTATCTTATTTTATTTTTCCTTCCCTTTCCTTATGTTTTATCTGTTTTTTTCCTCAAATTCCACATATTAGAAATCATATGGTGTTTGTCTTTTTCTGACTTACTTATTTTGCTTAGCATAATACACTCTAGATCCATCCACGTTGTTGCAGGTGGCAAGATTTCATTCCTTTTGATGGCTGAGTAATATTCCATTGTATATATATATACCACATCTCCTTTACTCATTCATCTGTGTATTAGTTGATGGACATTTGGGCTCCTTCCATAATTTGGCTATTGTTGACAGTGCTGCTATAAACATTGGAGTACACGTGCCCCTTGGAGTCATTTTTCTGCCTTTTGGATAAATACCTAGGAGTGCAATTGCTGAGTCATTGGTAGTTCTATTTTTAACTTTTTGAGGAACCGCCATACAGTTTTCTGTAGGGGTCCCCTTTCTCTGCATCCTCACCAACATCTGTTGTTCCCTGAGTTGTTATTTTTAGCCATCTGACCGGTGGTATCTCATTGTGGTTTTGATTTGTATTTCCCTGATAATGAGTGATGTTGAGCATTTTTTCATGTGTCAGCCTTTTGTACATCTTCTTTAGAGCAATGTCTGTACATGTCTGGACTGTAATTTTGATGATGCTTGCATATGTGTAGTTCATCAGTAACGGTCCTCAAGTAAAGATGGGAAGACAGTGGCAGAGATCAGGACTGAGGGTTGGAATACGGGAAAGTTGACATTATTGTTGCTGGGGAGAGGATCTTTTCTTCTCTAAGCTCTCAGAAAAGTTAGATCAGATTAAGGAGTCAGTGACAGAGGAATTGGTTTATGGATGAGAAGTCAGTAAAAAAAGACGGAGCAGCGGTTTTAGAAAAACAGTGAGATAGTGGGTTGAAGAAAATGAAATAAGTGAAAATAAACAAGGCTGAGTACATGAAGGCTGGGGAGTCATATAAATGACATATAACATATAATCCCAGGATATATAAGTATATATGGACTGTTTAAGTACAGCTTGCTTTTGACTTGCTTTTGATTGCTGCCACGAGGAATTCTATTACTCTAATTCATGTATTATCATTACCTGATGATAAAAGAAAATAAGATGAGCACATTGACCTTTATGTGTTATTTTTCTCTTTTAACATGATAACAGAGATGTAAGTCAAAAGAAGCCTGGTAGAGGATATTCATAGAAACTCGGGAACTTTTAAAAACAATTAGTGCCAAGCTTGAAGCCGTGTAAATTGGCACTTTAAATGCTCTCCTGAAGAAAGCAGTTTCAAAGCTGAACTTTGAGTCAATAATCTGGTTCATGAGTCAATGAAGGTTGGAGTGAATGCTTTAGACTAAGTAGAATGCATGTCCGGTTCAGAGAGCAGTAGCTATTCAACTCTGCTACCTTCAGAAGATGAGGATTTCTCCCGGAAGCTTGGGTCTTTGTTGTCTCTCTCTCTCTCTCAATCTCTCTCTTTCTTAAATTGGTTAAAAACAAATAGCCGTGTTTAAGTAGAGTAGCATTAAAAATCAACAAACTCATCCTTGCTGATACGTGTGATAGCGTTAGTCTCTGCACTGCTCTGACATTTGAATTTCATTGCAGACTTTTGTCCTGAAAATATTATTCTGCTCATTTCTCACTGTCTGTCTTTTCAGCGGGAGATAACGCAGTACGCATTTGAAACCATTTGAAGTAACGGAAGGTTTTGGGGGTAGTGACTTCAGAAAAATTGGCATTTCAGAAGGACATGTTTTTCCCTCAATCTCTGTTGACGTTTGAAGTCTTCAAAGCATTGCTATGATCAGAGAAAAACATTTCTTTGTGAAATCGTTCTCTCCAAGAATGCAGTGATTTGAGCGTGGCCGGCTGTGGGTTCAGATCATCTGTACTGGAAGAAGCTGTTTTCACTGAATTTGCTCTCAGGCTGAGGTCTGGGGCTTGAAAGGTTTATTGCCGGCTCAGAATATGTAAATATAAAATTAACCTGGCTTTAAAAAAATAAGCTTCCAGGTCAATCCGAGGAGAAGTGGTTCCTAAAATACGTGCACACTGTACAGTTTCTCATCCCTGTTGCTCATCAGTGATCCCCATGCGTGTGGTTTGAAGATTCTCGCTGCAGCCATTACATGGGATTGACACATGAAAGTGAACGCAAGAAGGAAGGTCTTTCTGTGTTCTCAGTCAGTCGGTTTACTTCTGGTCTGCTTTTTCCATAAAAAATTCTAGCTAAATGTTGATCTCAGGATGCTAAAGGCTCGACTTCAAAAGAAGTCGCGCTAAAGAAGTCCGTGTGCCGGACGTATGCTCAGCAGTGTTCATGAATTATCTCCCTTCTTAGCCCGTCCTCCAAGTACCGTTAGTATCATCTCTTTCTACATGTGTGGAAACTGAAGCTTAAAGAGGTGACCCGATCCACTCATTTTGGGTCGTAGGGGTCAGAGCCAGGGTGTACACTCGGCTTTGCAGGCACGGCCCCACTGCCTTCATCTCCACGTTCTCCTTTTTGAGCTCCTTTCTACTTCGTGAGAAACGCAAAGTACACTCCGCACATGATGACTGGGGATTCTCACGCAGCCTTGGTTCTAGTTTTCCAGGTACTGCAGTCAGCAATAGGTGCCGCCCATCTTCCCAACCTAAGACCCCAAGAAAGTCTAGTGACGAACCACTGTGTAGGTTGAACGGCCACTTGCCTATCTCACTGGCACTGCTTTAAGAGTACTTACAGCACGTCGGTGTTCTAACAAAGCAAACAACAGACCAGCAACAGGTCGGCCAGCCTCATCCCACTGATTTAGGGAAATCATTTGGAGACCTGAGAAAATAAGTCCTTAGAGATTAGATTTCTAACTTGGGTTCCAATCCAACAATACTTACTTTTCGCTGTGCTCTGTTTCCCAGCGTGTACGAGTGGTGGGAATTTTAGAATCCCGTGAGACTTAACTCTTTTGGAGTCTCAGAGCCTCTTCTTAGGAAATGCACGTGTAAAATTTTTGCATATCATTCAGGGGTTTTATGGGGCCCCCAAAATCTCTAGGGATGTCTAGACTTTATTAGAACCCCTGAGTTAGTTGATCTCCTGCATTTCATTTTAGCTGACAAATGGCAGAATTCTAGGCTCTGCTGTACGAAGAACCTTTGTAGATAAAGCCCTATGATACCTGGTGAACTTTTGGCAAATCGATGCTTTTTAAAGCACATTTCTTACATATCCTGGGATATGAAGGATACACGTTATACTGAGTTAATAAGAATTTCTTTTTTTAAAATTTTCTTTAAGGTTTATTTATTAATTTTGAGAGCGAAAGAGAGAGGGAATGAATAAGAATGAACTGGGCAGGGGCGCCTGGGTGGCTCAGTCGGTTAAGCGTCCCACTTCGGCTCAGGTCATGATCTCATGGTTCATGGGTTCGAGCCCCGCGTCGGGCTCTGTGCTGACAGCTAGCTCAGAGCCTGGAGCCTGCTTCGGGTTCTGTGTCTCCCTCTCTCTCTGACCCTCCCCTGTTCATGCTGTCTCTCACTCTCTCTCAGAAATAAATAAAAAACGTTAAAAATTAAAAAAAAAAATGAACAGCGCAGAGGCAGAGAGAGGGGGAGAGAATCCCAAGCAGATCCCACGCTGTCAGTGCAGAGCCTGATGGGGGGCTTGAACTCACAGACTGTAAGATCATGAACTGAGCTGAAATCAGGAGCTAGATGTTTAACTGTCTGACCCACCCAGGTGCCCCCTGAGTTAATTAGAATTTCTGAAGAGGTGGCAGTGGAGCTGGGAGAAGAGCAGGTAGACTTGAACTTGTCAGACCTAGCTAATTTGGAAACTTTCTCAGTCCATCAGTTTCTCCCTTTGTGAAAGGGATGAAGAATGTTCTGTGACTGTGTAGCATTTAAGCAAACTATCAGGTGATGAGTCCTGTAGATAAGTCAGCTAATGGCAGTGAGCCTGGCGAATGTTCATCACGTTTGCCTGTTGCTTAACTGGCGTTTGGAGGGTCAGGGCAGCGAATGGGTTCTTGGGAGACACAGACGTGGCAAGTTGGATTAAACTGATCCTTGGGACAGTGGGGATCTCTTCCTTCACGTGTAATGAGAATCCATGGGATCTGGGGACACTGCCTGAGAAAGGGAGATGAACTTGAAAGTTGACGTTGCTAAAGAGGGGAAGCTGGGCTTACAGTTTCGGAAAGTCAGAGGTATTTATTGGATTTGTGCTCTCAGAAAGGCCAGAAGGGCAGCAGAGGAAGTCTTGTGGTAAAGGAAACCTGCATCTGATAAGTCCAGCATCTAACCCGTGTTAACATACAGTAACACCAGAATTCATTAATTAAAGCTATACTTGGGAAGCGTTTAAGAACACTCATCCATTTGTTCGCTTTTTCTCACTGTGTTACAGGCAGGCATAAAAGCTCTGTGAGAAGTCTGTATCATTTTTGCATGAATGAGTCCAGCAGGTTTCTGTGGTTGTTTGGGTTGCCTGGAGACCTTGGTGTCTGCGCTTCTCTCTCTCTCTTTTAAAAATTTTTAAATGTTTATTTACTTTTGAGAGAGAGAGACAGAGCATGAACAGGGGAGGGGCAGAGAGAGAGGGAGACACAGAAACCGAAGCAGGCTCCAGGCTCTGAGCTGTGAGCACAGAACCCGACGCGGGGCTCGAACTCACAAACTGTAAGATCATGACCTGAGCCAAAGTCGGATGCTCAACTGACTGAGCCACCCAGGCGGCTGCCCCTCCGCACCCCCCCCCCCCGCCCCATCCCCACTTCTCTTGACTTCATTGCTTGTGTGCCACTTATATCTAATGTCTTAGGTTTGGAAGACTTAAGATTGTTTTGCTCTTCTGGAAGATTACTTTTAATATTTAAAGTTGTTACAGTTGATCCATATTTTAAGTCCTTTATGGAATGTCTAGTAAATAATCCATTTGTTTTGTTCTGTTTTTATTTTCAGATTGAAGAATTTCGAAGGCTGAGGACACACGTGAAGGGGGCGGAACTTGTAGAAGGCTGCGATGGGATTTTGGGAGACAATTTTAGACCCACTCAGCCACTTAGTGACAGAGTCATTAGAGCTGCATTTCAGTAGCCAGAGAGGACGGGAGCAAGACTCTCTTCATCTGGGTACGTGCGGATTAAGGAAAATAGCCTCCGGGTTACGTGAGGCTGTCATGCTAGACTTATTCTCATGGGGATCCTGATAATTTAGCAGCATGAGTGCACTTCATTTTGATAAAAGGGACGACACATTCTCAAGCCCTCTTAATTACAAATCAGGTGGCTTTAAGAATTTCACACAGTGTTGGAAAAGAGCCTGCCACCCTTCTGTTTTCCCACCAGAGCAGCCTTTAATTCTTGTTTTGCTTTAATATTGATCTTCATAAGGTAAGGAGCCCCGAGGCAGAGAAACAGCCCCTCGTTGCTCAAGGTAAAGAGGTAAAGTCCTTTTTAGTGCTCACTGTGCTGCCGCCTTGAAGGGGCAGCAGTCACCTCCTGATGACTGGGGGACTTAAAGGAAGCCACCAGAGGAGTATGTGAGCCTCCGAGTTGACCCTTGTCTGATGCAGATTCCACCTTATTTATCGGGGTGGGCGAGGGCAGATCTGGCATGCATTAAAATCCTCGACCTGTGGAAGTGCTTTTATTTGGTAGATCAAGAAACACTAGTTACTTGAATATGGTACGTTTCTTCATTGTCTAAAACATAATCTATGCATTTTAAGATACTGAGTTCAATATATGTATACCTTTTCCCAAAAGAGCTCACAAAATAAAACACCACAGACATGAGAAGATCAGATACACACAAGCGGCTGTATATGTGCTGCATTATTTCGTCACCTTTTGAGTCACCCAAGGGTGCACACACAGGTCAGGGCACTGAGCTGGCCGGCCGCTGCCCCCACGAGAGGAAGGCATATGATGGAAGTTACACAGGCAGACAGATCAGAGCTTGGACTTTGTTTAGTGGCCCATGGTGAGTGTGAGCTCACATACCATGTGGGTGGAACCGTATAGGCTGCGAGTCACAGGGCAGTAGAAATCTCTGTCTTCTCAGTCTCACAAGCTAGACAGTTGACACTGGGATTGTAAAAAGCAATTATTTTGTCCACATGTTTCCCCATCCGTTTTCTTGCCTCTCTCTCTACCTCACACACCTAGCATTCTATCCAAAGTGTCCTTTTTCTTATGTGAATGTGCTTTGCTCATACATTCCTTCCCACCCTTCCTCCTGCCTATGAAATCCTAGCTACCATGCAGACCCTACTCAAATGCTGTTCTCAGCACGAATTCTCTGCTTCTCCCTTAAATTGTACCTCTCCGGTCACGTTCTTTTCTTCCAGTTAGCTATTTGTATATTTCTTATTTTTTCTCTGCCCGATTAAGGCTTTTAAGGGTTGAAACACGTTTATTTTACCTTGAATCCGTCACAACATATAATGCTTTGTGTCTTGAATTTCTCTTGGCAAATTAGAAATTCTTTATTTTTTAAAAAATGTTGATTTTGAGAGAGAGTGTGTGTGCTTGTGAGTAGGGCAGGGGCAGAGAGAGAGGGAGAGAGAATCTCAGGCAGGCTCCATGCTCTTAGTATGGAGCCCGGCATAGGGCTTGAACTCAAAACCCGAACTGTGAGATCATGGCCTGGGCCAGAGTCAAGAGTGGGTTGTTGAATCAACTGGGCCACCCTGGTGCCCCCGGAAATTCTTTAGAACTATGCATAGCATACATCAGCCAACCACATTCCACATTCCTCCATTGCTTTGTTAGCCAGTAGAGTTCTGCTTCTGATATTGGAGATGGTGAGGGACAACCAAGGAAAGTTGCTTTAGTAGGAACGAGGGGGACTTAGAGGAATCCATATGTGGTGACAAGGAGGGACAACCCAAGAGTGCTTCAAGCTAAGCCTGACAATGGAGGAACTAAAGAATTAAAACTATATTTGCTCAAAAATCATTATTGAGCACCTGCTGTGCGAGTGGTTCTGGGTATCCAGAGGTCGGAAGAACATGTTGTCCCTGGTGTCGTAAGTTAGGGTCTCATGTGGGGAGCCTGACTGAAGAAAAATAAACACTTCAAAAACACACAATTACAACTTATAATACACCCATGAATGAGAAGAACAAAAAAATGAAGTGAAGGAGATTTCAGATGAGGGAATATCTTTTGCAAGGGCCCCGACGGGCTGCTCCCTGTGGAGGAGGTAAGACTCTGATGCATTGAGGTATGTAGGAAGACCCTGTGAGTCTGGCCTGTGTGAATCCAAGGGGGCAGGGCTCTTACCTCGGAGGCCCTGGAGGCTGCCAGCTACAAGAAGGCATCCTTTTTTTGCTGTTGATGTGTTGAGAACCCACGAAGACTTTTGCTCAGGGGAGTGGCCAGATCTCCCGTGGTGTGGTCCGGTGTGTGTGTTTTCAGTAGATCACGGTAGCTGGAGAAGGAATAGATTGGATTCTAGTGGGCTTAGGGGGAGGGGGAAGGAGATACTTTAGAAGTCTGCCAGGTAGCCAAGGTGAAAGACACCGAGCCTTCGAAACCAGAATAGGAGCAGTGGAGACGGGGAAAAGTTAAAGTGTGTTAAATAGAATTGGAAGTGACACCCAGTTGATAAATGGGATGGTGGCGGAGGGGGGATGGAAACAGCCAAAGGTAGCTTCTGCGAATTGGGGGCTTTAGAAACTGTGGGTGAAGCGCCGCTGAGTGAAAGCAGGAAAACCAGAGCAGGCCCTGGGTTGGAAAGACCGTTGAGTTGGAGCTTGTTGAATGAGAGATGTCTGTCTGTCACGGTAGCGGACCCCTCATGCCGATAGCTGGAGTTTCGAGAGTGGAGATCAGGAGGTCCGAACTGAATATGGGAGTCGTTGGCACGGAGGTGTGTGTGTGTGTGTGTGTGTGTGTGTGTGTGTGTGTGTAATGTGTATATGTATGTATATGTAATGTTCTAATGCTACATAGGATCATCTCATTAAGTGCTCCTTAAATTTAGCAGGAGGCTTTGTAGATAAGTCACTGAAGCACAGAGAAATTAGATGCTTGGCTAAGACAGTGCAGTCACTGAGCAGCAGAGTTGGAAATTGAACGTGGGCAGCCTGACTGACAGAGCCCTTTTTCTTACCAACTGCATGCACTGGTCAGAGAGCCTCCCCACACAGGCACAGAAGGGTGGGGTGCTGAGCAGTATTGTGTGTGGCAGCAAGGCCCAAGTTGGGTTTGAAAGGAGGAGGGGGGAGGTGCCCTGTGGCAGCTGTTGTTGAGAAGGCCAAAGCCGTGTAGAGGGAAGGGGATTGGGAAACACTTAATTTTTAAACACACACACATGAAATACTAGCGGTGTCCGTATGTTGGGGTGATGAGCCAGTAGATGGGAGGCGATCGAGATGGCATGTCTCAAACAGGCTAATCCCAGCTGCGAAGTCTCTGAAGAGTTGAAAGGGGGTGAAATATGGGGTCCCTGACTGGCTCGGTTGGAAGAGCATGCAACTTTTGACCTGGGGGCCCGCAAGCACCACGCTGGGTGGAGAGACTACTGAAAAAGAAAGGGAATGAAATCCTAAGCAAATGTGGAGACTGCCTTGTTAGGAGAATGGACACTTTCTAGGCTGTGACCGCAAGGGAGAAGGAGGCAGGAGGCAGCGGTTTGTAGAGTTGGAGTTTCCATGACTTGCGTTTGTTATTTAAGGAGGAATGGGGGTGCACCTAGGGGTGAGAGCAGGAGGGGAGGTGGCAGATTGAAGCAGAGAGAAGGGAGGGAGCGTGGGTTCACAAGAGCAGCCCCATAAGAGAGGTAGGCGTGAGGTGCGGGGAGGTTGGGTGAACGTGGATTCATTAATTTCTCCAGTCTAGGTTTAGTGTACCCTGTGAATCTCAGTAACTATAAACGATACTTTTTAAGAAATCAGATATTACCTTGAATTTTTGATCCACATCTAGTTCAAGGCCAGAGTTGCCTCTCTCTAAATCTCTAAATAACCATCACTGGTTTTCCTTCTCCCCAACACGTGCACACAGACCAAAATGTTGTTGATTAGATTATGTCTATTTCAGATACTTCGTATTCCTTATATGATGGGAAGGTAGAGAATCCTTTTTCAAGGCTTTAAATTAATTATGACCTAGGGTTTTTAAAAGGAGGCTGGATTTGTGTCCTTATCTTTGTGGCCGAGATTACTTAAAGGAGGTCACTTACCCCCAAATTCCTCAGAATGGTGGAGGAAATCTTTCAAAGGCAACTGTGGTTCTGACGTCACCCTTCTCTGAATCCATTTTTGACCCTTTTGTCTTGAAATGTGTAATACAAATCTAGCCATAGTTCTACATAAAAATTATATTGGGAAGTCAAACTTATGGATGTGTGCTTTTTATTTGATATTTAATAATGCCCTAAGGGCGGTAATTCAAATTTTTATTAAAGTGGAATGACTTGACAGTCAGACTTTGAATTTAATGCGTGAATGTTTCATCTAAGCTCTTGGAACTGAAAAGGGGAAAGAAATTTCTGGTAGTTCTCTAAAAAATGTTTAAAATAATTCAGATTTATTTTAGCTATGTCTTACTAAAATAACTTTAGTTTTTGGACTTAAAATGACTTTTTTTTTTTGCATGACATGTCTAGACATCTGGAGGGCTTTGATAACCAAGACTTATTATTCCATGAATAATCTGTGACTTTTTATATTACCATTTAAGAAGTATGAAGTATGGTTTTATACTTGTTTCAAGAACTAGCATATAACTCATCCAGGTGCTAGAAATTCTTTAGTTTCACAGTGCTAGTTCAGATTTCTGGGCCAGTGGACATGAGATGATCCTTTACCCAGTGAATTTGCTGTATGAGGACTGCATCTGTGTAATAACAAACAAAAAACAAGACCGATAGGTCTAGTTTACTTTTTTTCCCCATTCTGCCTTTTATTTGGCATTTGTTTATTTGATACATAGATACATATATAAAAATCTGTACAAGGTAAAAATACAAAATAAGTATTTCTTTAGAAGTTACATAATTAAATAGGTACCTTTTTAAAGTCTAAAAGCCATTGCAAAAAGTAGAGAAGAAAATCGAGTCAATCCTTTCTAGTCACTCCCAGTGACATTGGTATAAAATAACCATGTGACACATGTGTGCA